AATTATATAATAACTATGGTATTATAAATATTTCGAAAATCCGTATAAAACGATTTATCCATATGCAGTTTATCACAAAAGCATTTTTGATTTCAGCTTAATGGAAGCTTTTCCCCGAGGAAAGGTTTCATGCGTGATCGTTGCAAATTGCATGTTCATAATTCAAATCAAATGCAGTGCATTTCATGTTAGACTAGAAGAGTAGCTTGAGGTATTATTTATCACTATGAATGCGTGAGTGCGAAATCTCACAAGTTGTTCTATTCCAGTGATTTAAATAAATGAGTATTACGATATTATCAATTAAAAATAGCTTTTATCTTAATTTGCATTTTTTAATTGATAGTACAATAAATTTTTTATGAAACAAATTCTTGTTTGTTGATAATTTTATAGTACATTTAAAACTTTGTTCATTATTTATTCAATAATTAACAAAGTTTTAAATGTGTTATAAAACATATCTACTATAGTTAATTGTTTATTTAACATACGACATCAAGAAAGGAATATAGTCAATTTTAATAAATATTTAGTTCACTACTACCAACTAAACATTTACAATAAATAAATATTTGTTCAATAAAGAGAATGATTGTTAAATCAAATTAATGGTTCTTGTATTAAATAAATATAACTTTATATTTAATAAATATTTAGTTGGCTGTATTCAACTAAATATTTATTAAAATTGATTATATTTTTTCTCAGTGTATTTGTAGTGATAACAAATTGGTTATATAGATTACGCTACTTATATCTATTGCGACTCCATTTACACCTATATCCACTTATACGGTTTTTTTTCCTGCGCAAAATTATGTATTTAAGCAGTTAAAATAAAAAGAGATGCATTTTATTGCTTTTATGTGGTGATTATGCATTACGTAGATTCTTCGCAACGTGACGCTCGGAAAATTTTACAAGCTTGCGTTGTCCCAGCGCAGTGTTCAAATTTTACAACGCGGTGCTTTGCTTCGAAAATTTATTGTTCACAATGCACGTATAAATTTCACGCGCGGAAACGACTCACCGTAAAGTGCAGATGTTGCGCTCAATGCACACCGCAGTGAAGAATGCACATGAAAGAAAAATATTATAATGGGAATTAAAAATCATGACTATTTGCGTCGTTTCTTATAATGATGTTTCTTATAATGACGAGAGACAATCTATATGATACTTAATGAGGCATCCGTAACAAAAATATCAATTTTATTAATTTATCATTTTTGCGAGTCTTTTTACGAGAAAGAATATAGACTTGTTAACAGGATACAGATTTATATAACGTAACATATCTTTAAATTGAAGAAACATGTACGAAATATGAATGTGCTTTTAGAGAAACATTTTTATAACCCCAAAGGAAAGAGGATATCTATACGTGTATGTATATGCGCATATAGTATTTCTCTTTATTTACCTTCGAGATATGTGATATGACTTCAGTCGCTTTATTTCCCAGATATCGAGTTAAGGCACGGAAATGGACCATTTCTGTGCGTCATCATCAATATCATTGCTAATATTCGAGGGAATAACATCACGTGATAAAACAGATTTCCATTCGTAATCTCTTGCATAAATTGCCAATGTTTGAAATTATTTCATCCCGATGATTAATAATGAGCGTCATCACGAAATCTTCTCGCGCCAGACGCTGACAGTACAAAGTGCACTTAAACACAGTCAGATCGATCCAAGAGTGAATGAGTGAGTGAGTGAGAGAGAGAGAGAGAGAGAGGGAGAGAGAGAGAGAGAGAGAGAGAGAGAGAGAGAACTGTCTCAAGCCCACGAGAACGTGAATTTGGAAGCTGCCAAACTTTATAGCCGATTGTTACGTGAACATTTATCGAACTAATTTCTGGCGCTTGCCAATCTTCGTTTCTTACGGATTATCGCTAATTCGAAATAACGAAAAAGTTACGCTGGTTGAATTCTATCCAATTAAATTCGACTTTCATTCCATTACGATTTACACCAAAGGTTTAAGAAAGAAATAAGATCTGTTATATACTTACACCATAAACTGTGCTGCGAAATAATTAACTTTCTAAATTTTTCAGAGTATTTTTATATATTTTTTGAGAAATAATTGTTTGACAGTGAAAAAAATGTAAAAATTTTATTTCATCAAAAAGGCATGATTAAATTATTTCTTGATTAAAAATTGCGATTAATGAATTCTGTATGTAGCTGCAGTCATTATCAGCTATCTAACTAGGATTTGCATTGCATCGTTATTCATTGAAAGACCCCTGCTGTTTCTCAATAATATCTCTTACTTTTACAGGAAACTGTTTTAGTTTGTATATGTCTGCATACCACGTGAAACTGAAAAATTCTTCGTGTCGGCGTATATTATGTATCATGTTCTTTAGATCTCTTTTCAGCACATTCTGCTTACATTCGAGATCAAGTTTGAGCTTGTTACTCACCTATTGATTAAATAGACAATGACTCATCGTTACGACAGCTTAAGTTTCCTAATCTCATCAAAGAAACAGATCCGTTTAGATCACCTCGTTCACTTAAAGAAAAATATACTAAACGTGATTATCGCCGAACGTATCAATAATTTCGTAATGATTGCTCTTTTATCTGTGTGTTGAATAATATCATCAAATATAATCTTGTACATCAATCACATTTCCACTCAATATTCTCTAATATTTTTTTCAATGACAGGTGAATTAAGTTTTGTATTTATCAGGAGAATGATTTTTGCTCCTTGGAAAACCAATTCACCTAAATGAGATGCTATAATATTGATACGTTTGATATAGGATAAATTTCTAATCGGTAAATTATTAATTATTAGTTACGAGACAATCAGCATCGATAGGTAATCTTTAATCAACCGTCACAGACACTTTTTAAGTTGAACTGTCATTGTTTTATATTTTTGTATCTCACGAGTTGGTAAACGTCGTTAACGAAACAATAAGCTTTCGTGTTTGGGGTAGGCACATCACTGCACAAAATCGTGCACTTATGTGTACGATGCACGCTCAAGCGCAAAATTGTTTCGCTCAGAGATATTTATTCTCGGTAAGCTTTTGCAACGGTCGCGAAGGATGTATAAAATCGATAAATTATGAACCACATATTTCGTTGAAATTAAATTTTATACACGCCGAGTGCTTCGTTACGAACAATATCATTACGAACTTCGTAAATTCTCGTGGGCTAAGTATATAATTCGTACAGTCAACATATTAATCTGGATAACTCATCGCGTCTGTGTCTTAACTTTGTGACGTGGATAAAATGAATCTCCGTATCATGAAAACTCGTTTTCGCTTCGGGTCTGGTAGATTATAGCGGGCTCGGCGAGAGATACTGTTTTATGTCTCCTCCGGAGTACGTCGGGCGAACTTATCCCATCTCGATGAAGAAGCTCTAAAATGCGCTTTGCGTGGAAGGAAAATTCTCTAGAGAACTACATCTTTCGTTTTAGCTCGTTTCCGCGCTCAGCGAAGGACAGCTTTTCCTGTATCTCACCTAACAATAACGTGCCACATTGGATTCTGGTTCAAGACCCTTGGCCTGAGACTATACTGAATAAATCTATTATTAACCATAACAACTAACACAAGACTCACAATATCGATTGTACTTTCACTAGCAGCACATTTTCCAAATTCTTTTCTAATTTTATAATAAAAATTCCTATCTGATGTTATGATGTAATAAAATCCATGCATATTTTATTAATTGTTTGATTTGGCCGTTAGCCAAAGAATAGCAGCTTCTTATTTTATTTGATCAAGACATGATATCTATCTTTAGAATAATATTTTGCTTTTATATCGTAATAAAGTTTGTTTAGTTTAACTTACTTGTTAGTTGAAAGATTGGAAAAAAATATTTCGTTAGAAACGTATATCAAGGTACGATTTTTATTTTTAGAATATTTGATTAGTTTGCTTTTACCATTTCAAATTTTGTTCAGTATAACTTAATCGAAATATCAGAAAAAGGATTTTGTTAGAAATATGTATTCATTCATATATACTTTATTAGACACATGTATGCATGCTTAGATATTTATGACAGAATTATATAAAATAATAATAAATTTTTACTTTTGAGTACTAAAGCTACGACATAAAAAATTTAACGAAAAGATATAATTTGAAAAGCTGAAACTGTGATCTCTTGTGCACTTCGCACTTTCCCAGTTTCCTCTTTGATACTATCACATCAGCCTTGTCGATCTAATATCGCATGGACACAGTGTTCCACTAATGTCGTTAGCTTCTCGTGTTCCTTCTCTCAGCCTGTCATGCGTGATTGACGACGACGCTTCGTTAGATGCGTCGATGGGCAGATGCCCGAAGGTACAGGGGAGCGAACACCGACGAACTCGAAATGCGTTACCGAGCGACAAAGATAGAAAACCACAAGCGAGTGAAAACCGGTCGCAGAAACAGTGAACAGTGAGACGATGGTCGCAGCTCACACACGTTTACAGAGAGCATGCCCGCGGCAGCGGGTGAGCACGATGACGCTCCTCCTCGCTCCTCGCCAGCTGGGTTCGCAAGGGGGCAGCTCGTCGACGCTCTCTCAGTCCGACAGCACACGCGACCTCGCGCGGTTCACGCGACCTCGTGCTCGTACTTGTCATCCCCCGCACCCTGCGAGTCACCTTTGAGTCTTGCGTCTTCATCCCTTGTATCGGTCCTCGTTACTTCCATTGACGGAAGTTTGAGCGAGATGGTTTCGACCGCGTCCCAACGACTGACCAGTGCATGACCGACGACGTCCAGTAGAAACCCTCGTGGGTGATCCGAGTTGCACCGACCGACAAGTTGTTAACTAACTCCTGGATTAGTAGTACTCTCTGCAAATCGTGCGCTCGGTCGCGACATGGGAGTAAGGGAGGAAAATCTGGTTATCCTTTGGAATAAGGTTAACTAGCGTTACTGTGGCTAACTCGTAATATCTTCTGTGTCCCAAGTGAATTTTCACAGCGTGTATACGGTGGAAATACAAAGGGCATCTCGAAGAGAGGTTCCACGAGCACTTGACGGTGAGCGTCCACTTTGGAAGTAGAAGAGTCACTCGGATTACGATTGCTCGCATCGTTTGCGCGGATTTGCTTTCCGTAAATTCGATCGATTAATTACGAAGTTCGCGCGAGGTCCTCAGTTCCATTTATCTAACGGAGAGAGCTTCCGTAGCTCCGTTGACTTTTGTAATTAGCAGGGTATGTGAGAACACGGGGGATGGAAACTTCGTTATGTATAATAGCACCTAGTGAAGTTTTCCTTTTTTCCTACGAAGTTCCGACGGTCCACATTTCCGGTCTTTAAAGCTGTGGCGTGGAAATTTCTGAAATGGAATCGGGATGTAATGCTGCTCTTTCTATAGAAAAAGAAGATTACGAAGTCAATCCTCAATATCTTCGAATTTGTTACGTGTGAAAACGATTAAGCACTTTGATAACAAAATCATGCGGACGATGCGAGCGAGTAATTCGATGTAAATACATTTATTTGTTATATAAGTTATGATGATTATCTTGTATTCGTCAGTAAATTTATATTTCTGCAGTATTTTGAGATAAATTTAAAATTTTTTATATTTCGATATCATTTTAACTTTAATTGTACAGAAATAAATATATTTATATATTTACGGTAGGAAATTGCGTAAAACCATAAGAAACAATACGTGAAGAGATAATACTGTTTAAATATTATTACTATCTTTTTCTGCCTTGGAGTACTTGGAGCTACCGAGAAATATTTTTATAACATCTACAGACGTGTACTTTGGGAAACTACTCTCTCTTTCTCTTTCTTTCTCTCTCTCTCTCTCGCCTCTTTTAAAATTCTCCATGTGTGTTTAAATTAATAACTCAAAAAACTTACGCAGTTACAGCGCAAACTTCAAAACAACAAAGTTTCTGTAATGACTAAAGTGTTTTCGAGCTAGTGAGAGTTTCGGTTTACATCGTTATACGACGTTGGAAGGAAACGACGAGAAGTCTAACCGCTAAATTTCTGTGTTACGCGACGATTACGCGCAATTTAATTGCCGAATAGTTTCAGCGAATCAAATTTACGCGATATGAAGTTTGCTCGCAAACGGGCTCATCTCTTCATAGTTGGGTGTAAATTATCACGGAACTATCGTTATGATCTTCTCATCTCCAAATAATTTAAGAACGCGAATATGCATCGCGGGACGAATGTCGTCTCATGTTCCCGACGTTATCTCTCAGCAGGCAGTGCATTCAGAATCACCTTGCAAACGTAATAGGAAAGCACGCGACAAACCGACATCATTAATTAACGAGGCACGCGATGCCAGCGTGATAACCCTTCCGCGCGTAATGACGAGATAAAAGGTAGCTATTGTATCACGAAACTAGATTTCTCTCCTTTCAGCATGGGACTCATTACGAATTGATCGTTTCGATTTCGTTCGTGTGACATCTCATTCAGTCACTTTGTGCAACACGAGTTTGTCGATCTTTCGTGCGCAGGACATATTTTTTCTATAAAATAATGTAACACGCTCCCTTCGCGTGACATTTGAGATACGTAGTTTTCAATTATTCAAAGAGAAATGTTTGTCTAACAGATAAAACATCGCGCCGCAGCTCGTGGCGTATCGCGTCCAATTTTTTTTTCTAACAACCTGCCGTTTCACCTGCGGGCAGCAGCGCGGCGACAATAGTAGAAAGAATATAACCGAGCAAACAAAAAAGTTTGCCTTTATCTCGTTTCAGAACTGACACTGAGAGGGTCCCGTTGAAGGTATAAAGGAAGCGTAACATTACCTGTAAGAGCAAACTGCGCACGATAATGAGAATACAACTTGTTTTCGGAAGAGCTTTTTTTATTTCAGGGGCAAATGAAAAGAAGAACGCTATTATTACGGTACCACCTGTGTAAATAAAACGTTGACAGGTTACTGTAAGAAAATTGACTCTCACTAGTGCTCATTACGACGTAACTTGATAGATACCGTCGACATATGTATTACGCTTTGCCGTAGAACAAGTTCTTTGTTCAGCTTTAAAAGTTTGAACCTTGAACTCAGCAAAGAAAAGACTTGACATTCTACAAGGCTCTTTAATTTTTTAATCAATAAATCGGTAAAGTAGATGACAGCGCAATATCGCGTTTAACATAATCGGACGATTTTTATCGAGTCCACTCATCAAATACGACTTAATTACAATATCGAGTATTTTTGTGTCTTTATTTTGGCTTTGTGTTATAGCAACCGCGAACATTGTTTTTTCAATGCATTGAATTAATTCCCCTGTAGTGACGCAGTTTCGAAACATTTATAAATACTCTCTTGCGCTCTCAATTTTACAATTGAAATTTAATAAAACGAAAATAGGCCAAACGCATAACGAAATATTTGCTACGGCTACGACTCTGATAGGTGGAAAGAAAAATATCATTTTTTTAATCTAAGCTGTTCATAAATCTCTTACATTCAATTAGCCTGAGCACGCTAACACCAGGGGGGGAAAAATTCATTTCATTATTTTGAAGAAATATACGAGATATATTATATTATTATAACAGTGATATTATGTGCGGTCAGCTTTGAGCGTTAGCATATGGATAAATAAAAGCATTAAATAAAACCATATCTTTTTAAACCGTTATGTATTACGCATGAATTATTTCCGTTTTATTTTAAATAATAGTTAATGAAACGGGATCGCTAAATTTTTACTGATATAACAGAAACGACCTCGATTTAGCGTAACACGCAACACGGTACTCCAATAAGTCATTAATCCAAAATGTCCGGTTATATGTACAACCCTGTGCTCACCGTCGAATTTTGCCGTCGATTCCGTTAATTGGTCTATTTTCGCTCTGTTATTTTTTCACCCTCGTCGAATTCACGATCCATTCGTCGCGCGCGAGATCGTCGGGGCGTGAGAACAGGTCTTCTGTGCTTTTCCGCTCTCCATGTCGCGCGCGGCGAATTTAATTATATCCGGAAAAAATGTTGCGTGCCTGTGTGTACATGACTGCGTGCAGACCGTGTGCCAGAACTAACTTTGTTTTTCGCCAAACTGCTGTCGACATTGACACTCAGAGCAGCCGGTGCTCGCTGCCACGTGATAGCGTGTCGGTAGACGTCGCATCGTGCGTCGCTCGACGATGTCAGGGCGGAAAGTAGGCCGTCGTGCTGAGAAAAGCCGCACCTGTGCAAAAAAAGTGCAATACGATCTTTCTATAGCCTTTATTTTTGCAAATTTCACGCATATCGAGGTTTATTCTGCGAAATATACGTAACTCGCATTTATTTTTTCATTTTTTTACTTCTCCCGTTCGACAGTTTAACGACCAACTCGGCGCGCTTTGTCGCTCGATTGCTCTTCTACGATCGTTTTTTATGCCATTGAACGATAGCCGGGCATGGATAACCGACATGCGAAGTGCGATTTAGGGAATATTCCGTTTGAGATCGAATTTCTAAAAGTCTGTTGAAGAGAACAATTAGTGAAGCGATAGAGCTGTAACATCAAGATAACATTATATTTTAACAGAATTAATCATTTTAAAGAGAACACTGTCATAAAATCCATAATTAAAAGAAAAACTGAAGTTTTAAACAGAAAAAAGCATTATGTACAATGCAACTCCAATATTCAATGTTTTTGAAGCAAATTTCTTTTTATAATAAATGATAAAAATGTACAACGGTAACTGTGTCCAGCAGAAATGACTGATAAAATATTTAGATTTTTTTAAATTTGATATATATAAATATTTTTTTGAAGAGTACGTTCTTTTATATGTGAAGCACATATTTGAAAGAGTATTACTCGACTTTGATGTAACCAATATGACTTGCGGGGGTTTTGGAAATATATAGTGACATTGAATTGCCCCGCCTTGACAAGCTTTGCAAATCGAGGAAAAAACACGAATCGATAGTAGACAAAGGAATAGGGAATTTACGTTACTAACGATATTACCGATACTCGTTAATTTTAACGATTTTTCTGTAACAATCGTGCTAGTTATTTTTCTTATGATGATCAATGACGAATAGTATCAACATATAATGGATCCGACAAGCAGTTTATAATGAACGACTTTCGATGAAACATTGACGAGTGATTGTGAATGTTTTTTTTTATAAAAATTGTTATTCTGGTATAAAAATTGTATAATATGCATTAGAGCTTCATAATGAATTTATAGAATTTTCCACCCCTTTATACAATATATGTGCTGTGAAATTTTGTGAGTATAATCTTTTCGCTTTAAATTATTTAAAGATATAATTTCTTAAAGAGAACACGCGTTTAATGAAATCTTTTGTCAGATTCTCCTTTGATTTTTGAAGAGTTTATAGTAATGTTTTCAACATTTCTTTTGTCTTGACAAGATAAATTTTAATTTCTCCAGGGATTGTGCACTTTAGTTTATTTCTGGGTATCATCTCAACTTGCAGTTTGTTTACTTTTGCAGTACAATACCCCGGACTAATTGAGATAGATTTCCAAACTTTTCTAACACTGCGAATGCACAATGTCAGGAAAGAAGAGAAATAAACAGGAACTAAATTGTTAAAATTTTTTTATTAACTTTACTGAAAAAGATAAGCAAGTAACTCTGCGTGTTGGGTTTGAGAAATTTAGATATAATTGAAAACATTTTCATGCACAAGTCAACGCATTGATTATGCAAAATTTAATTTACTTGTTACAAATTCTAATTAAAACTTTAATTATGATTAAAATATCGTATATTATTTCATATTTTCTCAAGAATTTAGTTCCTTAAATAATTGCGATAATAAAACATTAAATTTTAGTAATCGATAAAAGTAATTGAAAGGCTTTGTCGATTATTCCGTTTTGTCTCGTGAATAATCTAAATATAATTTAAATCGTGAGGATGTCATTCAAATATATGACAATCATGGCTTACACTGTTATATTTTCAGCAGCACTAGCAAAGTTAAATGGATCGCGGACACTCAATGGATGTTGTATTATTAACACATTTGCTTCATAATGCTTGGGAAATTGCTCGT